TGTTTGCATCTGTTTTTGATAGTATACCAAGGTTCTTCATATGTAATGGAAAGTGAGGTGGAGTTCATAGTTTTTGCCATTGATACTGATGGAAGCTGGGCTTAAGGCTACTGAAATAACATATTTCCAGAACTCCAGAAACCATTAGTAGTTGTCAATCCTGTTTTCTTATTTCTTCCTTTTTCTGTTTTCTTGGAATTTCTTACCCAGTTTTGCACCAGGTAACATTTCAAGGCTTTGAGTTCTGTGCATTTGAGCTTAAAAATGTTTGTTTCCTTCTTGGTTATCTAATCAGAGGTTTTAGATCATTTGATTGACATTAAGGGTTATTGGTGTCTTAAAGTAAATATTGGAGTATATGTGAACATGCTACAGCTTCCTGCATATGCATGTCTGATTTAAATTTGCAGATGATCCATTTGGTATTTTTGTTTGCACCAAAGAATTCCTTCCTGTCCCGTAGTCACCAATAAATCCTTGCTTCTGGTTCTGATTGCATATTGGGGAGATTTAACAGGAATGATGAGAAAGGAACAGTGCATGAAATTCTGTCCCAAGGTGATTTTATCTTCGCCCCTGGCGAAGTTTGCAAATTTGCTGATACTCAGGGTTGGTCCAGTGTCTGCTCGTTAGTTCTTCTGAATACCTTTTTGAAATGTCATTGAGTGGCTATGAAAACTTGGCACAGTACTCCTTGTCACACTCAAGCTCTGCTGCTAGAGCAGCAACAGAGAGTGTTCAAGCTTCTCAGAGTTTGATTTCAATCCTGCACCTGCGGCTTTCGATCCCTCCTTCTATGCAGGAGGTTTAAGTTTTTAGATTATATTGACAGAAACTTGCAGCTTAGAGTTTCTATTTAAAACTCAAGGAAGGGCTAAATAGATTTTTTAAAAATCTGGTGAAGAGGTTAGGAAGGTTTAACTTTTTAAAAAGATTGAATGGAATAAAATTTGAGCATGTATAAATCAATTTGACAGTTTTACGTGAGTCTTTATGTTCTACAGATAAGTGCATATTTGCTGAGAGGATTATTGTGTTTCATATGTATGAGCTGCTATTTGCAACAGAAATACAAGTATTGTTCTTGACCCCTTGTGTGCAAAAAACAACAAAGTATCCCCTTACAAGATGTATGCATACTAATAAAGGTTATTCTTGCTTGGGCTTGAAATAGTGCCATCAGGAAGTTTCAGCACCATGTTCTACTCATTCTTTACCAGAGCAAGGTTTGGGATTTGATAAGTGACATTGTTGCAGATGTCTCAGTGCCCAGAAGGTGAATCATCTTTACTGTAGTATTCCTTGTAGAAGCAATCTCCTTATTTCAATATTTTTAGTACAAGCACACTTTTAATACCAGTCTAAGCATCCAGTATGTCTGGCACAAAACCACTAAAAGTCTTTTATAGAAGTATTTGTTTCTCAATACAGCTTGGGGAAAATAGTTTTTGTTGCCCTATGGAATGCAGTCTGGGGTATAGTAGCTCCATCCTGGAGAAACCCATCAATCATGTAGTACTTGTGGAGCAAGTATTTTCAAAAGGTTGGCTGCTTGAGCTTTCTTTAAGATGGGGAAAACAGTTGCTGTATTCTGTGGTTCTCAATGCCCAGGTTACTTGCTTTTCAGCTTCAATAATTAATTTACTTATACTGTCATTAGTGTAACGCACTGGGGCCGCATTTGGTTCTGCAGTGAAGTATCTTGGGAAACACAATGTTACTTCCTTTGTGCAGAGCTGCTTAAGGTTTTTTTTTCTCCTATGACCACATCTTAACAGAGAGATTATTTTATGAATCTGTGCCCCTTCTGCCTACAATTGTGCTGATACCTCATCTCCCAGTCATGAACTCATGGCATCCCTGTGTCCAAGGCTTCAAAAAATTACTTATTGTTAATTAGCCCAAGAAATAAGTTTGCTCACTGCCTCAAGCCCTCTTGTTCAGTTTCCTGCTTGTCATATAGTCATCACTACTTGGATGCAACGACTCCAGTTTTCTGCTGGCTAAGCTGTGAATCTATAATTAATGCCAGTTGCCCCTCCTCACACAAGCATCAAATTAATTCTGTACCTCAAATGAATGCATGTTTCCAGTCAGTTTTCTTATTAGAACAATAAACTAATTTTGAATTGCCCCTCAACTTCCAAACTGAACAAACTATGCATTTTCTCGAAATTAATGCAGAGTGGTTTCTGTCTTACCCTTGCTGTCAGGTATGGTAAATCGATTCCTACTGGTCCTAGATGCACAGTATCTGCTGTATGTGGTCAGAGAGGGACGCCACAAACACTTCTTTCCTGAGTGGTCAGTCAGCCGAGACTTCTCTGCTTTAGGAGCTAACCCCAACCCAACCAAAAATGGAGAGCATTAGCCTGTGGAACCATAAGACCCCAAGCCTGCCTGAAAACTAATGGCAGTAGGTCTCCTGTCACATTTTTAAAGCCTTCTGCTGGAACAGTGATCTAGTACCTCAGCCTGATCATGTTAACTGCTACAAAAGTTGACCTGTTTTAGGAGATAGGGGTGATTCGATGTGCACACCCACTCACACTGATACCCAAGCTGTATAAAACCAAGGATTCCCTTGGCATCAACAGTGACTGGCACTGGGGTTGTGTGAGAGCCAGCTCAGGCATACATCACTACATTGGCTATACTTGGCTCACATTTTAAAGGTTTAGCCATCAATAATATAAGGGCTAGAAGCTTTTTAAAGAAATGAACATTTTAATTCTGACACAGCTGACTTTGCTCACTAGAGAGAGATTCTTTCTTGCTGAAGGCAGGCTTTTTTCCCCAAGCCCTACCTGGATAAACTACACAGTAATTTACATGGAAAAGTTACATTAAGAAAGAGTTTATGTACTTTAGAGGACTTTAAATAAGAATTTACAAGTCAAAATGATACTAAAACATACAAAAGTTTTTAACTTGATAGCATGCTATCTTTCCTCATAATTTAACTTTTCCCTTCCAATCTCCATCCCTCAACCCCATTAAATGCCTCTCTAATCTTTGTCTTTTTTTCTCTCTCCTTCCTTTTTAAACCCCTTACTCCCACAAAAACTTCCCTGTGAGCTGGTGCCTTTTTTCCTTCTACTCTGTCTGCATCTCAGCTGCCTCATTGTTGCTGTTGGCTAGCTGGCATCTTAATACCAGGGGTAGTTCTGCATCTCCAGTTTCCTCCACTGCGTGTTAGTAGATGCTAACAAAAACATGTAGGCTGGCTTCTCTTTCATAGGCCATTAAGCCAGTGGTGCCCAACCTTTTTTGCTCTACAGGCTGGATCTCTATGGACCTGATCTGGCAGGCAAAGGGCTGGGGCTCAATCTGGCACATGCTGGATTAAATCCCAGTCTGGCATACCATATAGTGGCTGGGACTGTGCCTCTGTGCAGGATCAGGTCCCATTGCCCCATCCCTAGTTTGGTGCCCTCAGGCTTAGGTCCCATCCTGCCCCCAACCTGATGCATTCAGCATCAGGCTGTCACCTAGCATGCTCCGGATTGGGCCCTGCCACCGGAGCTCCGACCTCATACACACAATATCAGGCCCCATCATTCCATTCCCACCCCTGCTTGTTCTGGATTAGGCCAAGCCACCTTCTTCATTCAGGGTCAAGCCCTGCTGTCGAGACTCCAGATTCACGCACACAGGAATGGGCCCCGATGCCCTTCCCCCATCCCTGCTCACTCTGGATTGGACTATGCCACTGTGCACATGAAGGATTGGGCCCTGCTGCCTGACCCCAGTTGCATGTGCTCAGGATTGGGCCCTGCTGTTTGGGCTGCAGCCCCTTGCTGTCAAGGTCAGGCCCTATTGCTTCTTCCCTACCCCAGTGTGCTTTGGATCAGACCAAACCATTCCACATGCACAAGATCAGGCCCTGCTACTTGCCCCCAACAGCACACGTGCAGGATCCAACTCTGCTAGCCACCCCCTCCCCTGCCTGGCAGGGCAGGATCGTGCCCTTCTGCCTTAGCCCCGTGTATGCTTGATGAGTCCCATCATCTACCTCTGTACATGCAGACAGGATCCTGCATGTTATCTGGCCTGCAGGACTTGGAAATTTGGTGGAAGAGGAGTGGTGGTAGCAGCGTTAATTGTCACTGATGTTTCTTGCCAAATTTCAGGGCCTTTGGGCAGCCCCTCAGGCTGGATTGTGGTTCTCTAGGCCACATCTGGTCCACTGGCCAGGGGTTGAACACCCCTTGCACTAAGCAACAAACAGCATTGTCTTTTTCTATTTTTTCCATCTGTTTTGGTTTACAGTATTGATATGAGCTGGTGAAGTTAAATGCCTTCTCATATTTTGTTTTTAAGTTAGAGTTGTGATGCTATACTGAGAGCAGTCTTTAGTATGTGAGGAAAGTGGATTCTCTCTTCTCTTCTAGAAAGGCACTCAGCAAGCACTATATTAAACTGACAAGCTTTGAAATTAGGGAAGCACACTGAGAGATTCATCCAAAGGGAAAATGGTGGGAGACTTAAAAATAATAAGTTTAATACAAGTGCCATCCCTATCAAGTAAAAATGCAGAACTTACCTAGTTAAGTTGCTAATTTACCTAAAATGACAGTTTTCTTATTTATGAAAAGGAGATATAGGGGTAACAGCACAATTTGGTATTTAAATTTTAAATGGCTGTTTTTTTCATCAGAGCTTTTTTCCTATAACTGTTTTCACAATGTTGGGAATTACTAGTCCTCTTTGCACTCTTGTCATGGCAGGTTCTTTCCCTCGCACTTAATTGTATTATGGATGTGTGTGACAAGGTTTGTTTATCTTTTAAAATAAGGGCCAAGTCCTTGATTGGAAAATATACTATTGCATCCCACCCCCAATTAAATCATGTTTGTGTGTGAGATTTGCTTGAATTAAGGCATCATGTGTGCAAATTAGGCTTCTGATATTCTGTACTTCTGCATAGACAAAAGATGTCAGTAAGGTTTTTTGTTTGTTTGTTTTGTTTTTCATATCTCTTCTCACTCTGTTTGTAGACTCAAGAATGAACAATCCGTCAGAAACCAGTAAACCATCAATGGAGAGTGGGGATGGGAACACAGGTAAGAAATGACCATTTTGTGTTCACATCTAGAATTCTGGTGGGTGAAATTTGATGGCTTTAGAACAGAGAAATACTCTTTAAGGGTATACATGTGGACTGTTCTTGGTATGCTTCATCAGAGGGTTTATGTTTTCATAGATTTAAGAATACCTGCTTGCCTCTTCTAGTTTATGGTAGGTTTTTAACTTTTTGTTTATGCAAATCTGTCCTTGCACATACTGACAGTATGAGCCTATGAACTATTTTTTTTCTCTTGCTAATATGATGTCTGAATTATAGTAGGAGCTAGTAACATTGCCTGTTATTAAAGTTGTCCAAAGCTTTCCTTTAAAGCCCCTCATGTACTACAGTGAAGATTTAACATTTGGCAAGGGTGACATTGCCTTTGGGTTAGGGAGTACCTTTTACCATTCTTGTGAAAATCCATGCAGATTTGGCCAAGTTGTAAACTTGTGAAAATAGCAGTTTGTATAATGTGAGTAGGAGTCTGATAGGGCTTCACAGCTCAAATCTCAGATTTCATCTTCTCTGGCCATGTTAAGCCTCACAGCTCCTCATATTGACTAGACTGCACGTGCCATCCCTACTGAGCTAATGGGCATGCTTCATCTATCTCCTTCACTACTGGGTGTCACTGGGCTGCATGTGCACCATCCCCACTGAGTATCTGAGCATGCTTCAGTCAAGGGGCACCAAGGTAAAGCTAGATTTCCCTCTGGCTGCTTGTAGCTGCTGTGGGAGCAGGCATCAGAATCGAAAGCAAAGAGCCTATTTATCTTCTTTCCCCTGTTTCCACATAGTATAAAGTCAGAAGCTCTCCGATTTACATGTGGGAGGAAAAATGGCTGAGCCCTAGTACTTTACAAATGAGGAGAGGGGTGACAGACTACTAGGGGCAGAGTTGGGAGTGAGTGAGCAAAGAGGTCAGGTTGGGACCAGGAGAGAAAAAGAAGAGGTTGTAAGTGTTGTGGAAGGGAGAAAGAGAACTGAGATTTGAGGTGGGGCAGAGGAGATCAGTCAGGCAAGGAGCAGGGTATATGGAGGAGAACTGGGACTAGCTAAGCAAGTAGGCTGGGAACAGGATATTGACAGGGGAAGAGTTGGGGTCAAGGAGTCTGGGATTGGTAGCAGTGGGAGAAAGGGATGTGTATGGGGCAACAGAAGGGGTGTGACTAAGTGTTACTCGCCCAAGAAGAATGGGATTGATATCGAAAGCCTGTGGAGTGGAGACCGTGACCAGCTTGAGGGTGCATGGAGAGGAATGGGACTGCTAAGGAGTCCAGTGATGGGGTTGAGAGGTCTGGGACAGGGAGCAGAATAGGCAAAGAAGTGTTCATCTCTTAGAGCACACTCCCTTCTGAAGCCTGAGAAAAGTCCTCAACATTTCAGAATGTTTTTCCTTTTTTGTCAAATACCTGTGAAATCCATTCTTAGGGTGTCTCAAATGTCTCTACTTCTGGTCCACACGGAGGATAACAGTCTGCTACGTGCTTTTTCACTTACTCTGTTAGTTCAAAATGGCAGAGGTCTATATTGTTGATATAAAGGTTCCAACCCATGTGAGAACCAATACTGTGGTACAGTTGTAGGGATTTTTTCTAATATGCATTTCCAAAACCTAGGAAATTTTAATTTAAATTAAATAAAAATGTTAAATAAGGTCATGCAATCAAATGCTTGGAACTTAGGAAATGTTGCCTGGGCAACTTTAATTCAGGCTTTGTTTCAGCTCTTTTGTTAGTATGAATTATGATCCAGCCTACAAACATTTTCTTCCACCCTACTGAATGGATTGGGGTTTGACTAATGAACAAGGCTGTTACCTGTCAGGCCAGTACTGCATTTTATTAGAGGAGATGGAATGTGTGGAGTGAATAAAACAGGAGAGTTTAGAAATAAAGAGGTCAGTCTTGTAGATCAGGAAATTGAATGCCACCCCTAGAGTATTGGATTCTAGTTTCTATCCCTGTTTCTGCCAGAGCTTCCATACCACGTTGCACAAATTGCTTAAACTAATGTTTTACACATCACCGCTAACTGTGTTTCTTGTTTTCCGAGTTGTGAACTTGAGAGGTGCAGAAATATGGAGTGTAGCGTCAGCTGAAGTCAATGGGATTTGTATTTTGAAAATAAAAAGTGCTGTAATAATGCTAAGTACATTGGGGAAAAAAAGTCCTGGGTATTGGGCACCCAAAGTCAGTGGTTACTTCTGACCATAATCTAGTTGCGTCTCATGTCTTCACATGTAAAATCATCTCTTCACAAGGATGTATGAAAATGTTAGCGAAGCGATTTAAATACTGCAGTTTTGGGATCCATAGACAAGTCCACAATAAAATTCATAATTACTATTTAAGAGTAAAGTTTGAATGCTGTATACTAAGTAATGCTTGTGCCAACATGTTAAATAATGAGTAGAAAATAAAATATTTTTAACTTTCCTTTAAATTTGCACCATCTTTACTTTTTGTTGAATGATCCAGGGTGGTGTGTACGTCTGTGACAATGTAATTAGAGGCTGTATCACAGTGCATGCATACAAACAGGCCAAATTAAGATGGAACAGGCAAGTGTGAATCTGGTGTTTCCTGACTTAGGTGTTTGACTTGAGGAACTTGGTGCTCTTCTGATACGGTTTTTTGTATGTAAGGTAAAAGTAGGGTTGCTGGCAGAAGTTTCTCAGTTATTAACTATACGTGATAGATTTTTTCTGTTTGGGTTTGTCATGATCCTAACATGCTTAATATAAGAATTCCTCAAACCTTTGACTGTAGATGATGACAGAAAGGGGTCTGTTTATATTTATTTAACACACTGATTGTTGTTGGAAATGAGGAACAGAAGTGAGAACTTTGAATGAGAAGTAAATAAGATGAAATAATTGAGAATTAGTTCTACTCTGGGTCCAGGTTATTGGCTGGATGGGAACATTTTTAAATTGCAAGTAATTACTACTTACTGTTCTGAGAAATCTGAGTTCATGTTGGCCACATCTACACAAGACGCTGACTACACAGTAGCTTGTTACTACTGCACAGTAGCATCATATGGCAGGAAGCATGACATGACACTACTACACCGTAGTAATGACCTACTGCGTAGTCAGCGTCACCAAAAAACTGTTTGGCAATGCTACTGCACAGTAACTGTTGTTACTGCTCAGTCATTTAGTACTTATTTATTCAGTACTAAATGACTATACAGTAACAATTGCGCAGTCACCATCTTGTGTAGACGTGGCAACAGTAGAGGGAAAACTGTTTTTTCTCCTTTGCTTTTCTAAATGATCATTATTAAGAATATAATTCCTTTAGTTTCAACTCTAGAAACTCTTTGGCAGTCGCAGCATTTTTAAACTGTCTGTTATTTCTGTGTCTTGTATGCAGGGTTTTAATAACAATGCAGTTAACCAGAGCTAAACATTCCCTGTGCTAATGTAAGATTGAAGGATGTTTTCCTGCCAGTAGGTGGAGCTAGTCAAAAAGTTTTCAAGTTTTTTCTCCTGTCTGTTCATACACAGATTCACAGAAGTTTAGGGCTGGAAGGGACCTTGCTAGATCATTGGGTCCAGCCATTTCGTTGGTACTGCATTCACAGTTTCTGTAACTTCTCTTACAAAGTGGCAGTGCCTGACTCTGTCCAGTTCTTTTTCTTTTTATAAAATGATTGGTTATGCATTTGACTCTCCTCAGTGGACTCTGTCTCTCTCATCTCTTTTGGAATCCTTTAGGCTTTTCAGAAGAATCCTGCTTCTAATTTTCCCTTTTTCATGTAGAAATGCTATTCCTGCAGATGCATAAAAGCCTCAAGGAAAAATTGGTGTTCTGCTTTTGTCATAGTAACTTGCTGCCTACACCACAACCCTTCAGCGGAAGAATAGAATTTAGAAGCATCCCATAGGAATTACTGGAGGAGGTGCACTGCCGTCTAACTTTACATTCAGTGCAACTTTTCAGTGCAAGCTGTGATGATGCCCTTTTTGCCTAGAGCCACAGAGGAAGATTTGGATCCTACATGAAGCTTTCCATCTTCACATATAACTATCCCACCTCTTTGGTAATACTTAAACTCAGTTGTTGAACAGATGGAAGGACATGGATCATCAACTAGAAGGGTTACAGCCGAATGTAACCTACTAGTTTATGAATATGTTCATAGATTTTTTTTTTTTTTTTTTTGAACAACAGGGCTAGCATCTGCATTTTCCTTTTCTAGTGGTGGGACTACTGTACAAGGCTAAAACTTTGGGATCATATTACAGCATGTTTTTGGACCTTTCATAAGCATCATATCTAGATACTGAAAAAGCTTATGGTCATTCATTTTAGGTTTGTGTATATTACAGACTTTGTAGGCAAGCTGACAGAAACCAAAAAATTTAATGATCTTTCGGGGGGCGTGGGGTCACTGTTTAAAAATATATGCTTGCAATCCAGTAGAGATAGTAAGATAGTAACTACTAATATTTGTGACCCATTCCTTTTTGGGGGCTTAAGGTAGGATTAGAAGGAGATGCAAGTCTCTGAGAGTTTTTATTATTTCAGGCCAGAATTAATTTATGAACTCTGCTGGTTTCCCAGTGGAGCTTGCAACTTGTGTGAGTCTTTCATGTATACAGTGCTGGCACATCTCTAACCACAGCAAATCATTGCTGTTTCTGTCTCTGAATCATTCATGTAGCAAACTCCCATGAGCTGATCAGATTTGCAGATTTCATGATACAAGTACCTAGGTCACATGCAGTTTATATCTAGCAGAGTTTGTAATTCTAAACAAAATGTAATCATTACAAGTTGCATTTAGGGGTTATGAGTTTAATAGCCAGGTTCATGGAAGAGAGAAGCATTTTCTAAGTTAGAAAGTAAACAAATTAAATTAATTTACTTAAAACTTTAACCTTTGAAACTTTAGTGCAACCCCAAAGACCAAATTCTCAGACCCTTAAAATAAATTGTAGCTTTTGAAGCTCCCATGCAATTTGGTCTCAGGTACAGGCTT